ATAACATACATTTTTGTCTAAATGACCAGGACCATCCAACAAGACAACAGTTTGGTGTTGACACAGCCATACTGCACTGGTCTGGGCAGCCATTTTGGATTTGGATTTGACACTGGAAATAAAAACAAATATCAAAAATAAATGTATTTATTTCTTCTTAGTGCAAGTGTTGTTTGAACAGGGAATGTTTCAAATTCTCTGTCATGTATTTGAATCATCTCTAAAGGTCTAAAAGATCCGTCCTCACACGTTGGAGAGAAGGAGCGTATTGTTTAATAGCATTAGCTATAGATGATTTTTAATGATGCAAATTTTATTTTTTCTCCACCATTTTGTTTCACTTCAGATCAAGCCGGGAAATCAGAGGCTTATCTGGAGGCCATCAGGAAGAACATCGAGTGGCTGAAGAAACACAGCAGGGAGGAGGGCAAAGAGGGTGAGGCTTCCTTCATTATCTCTGCTGACGAGGATCCACTGCTTTTCTCTGTAATTTCATCAGCGCCACAATTACAGCTCATTCAGAGTCTGTTTTTAGTTCTGCCGCAGAGTTTTGAAAAGAGAAGGAGAAAATGTCAGGAAGCTAATTCACCCTTAATTTAACATTCAAATACAGCTGTGAACAGGCGGGAGATAAAAGCCTCACAGCCGATCTGCTGTGTGTATGCAGTAGTGCAATATAAAGTGTATAAAATATATTGAGCACATATATAACATATATATAAATATATTTTTAATATTTGCAATAGTGTATTTATAATAGGGAAAACAAAGACATATATAACATAAATATATGAAATATATTTATAATATTTGTAGTGTTTGTAATAGGGAAAACAAAAACATAAAAACATTAAATAATAATTAATAATAATTAAAAATAATTAATAAAAATAAAAAATAGCAGCAGCAGAACCAGACGTGGAGACACAGCAGAGCAGCGTCTGTCAGTGTAAACAGTCAGTGTGCAGCCAAGCTTAATTAACACAGAGAAAAAATCATGTTAATGAACTGTCAGTGTTCTGGGCGTCTGTCCACTGACGCTCCTCACAGCAGGACGTCTCAGAACCAAACCATAAACAAAAACATTCCTCAGGGTTTGGAATTTCCCCAAACGTTGGACATTACATTTTAGCATTTTAATCAGGATGTCAAAAAATACAAGTGATTTTATTTATTTAGAGTCATTTCTTACCATAAAAACTCAAACTCAAACTAGTTACGGTAAACTAAAATCATTATAGTCATCATTATAGTCATTTTTGTTTGTTGTTTTTTTTTTTCAAAATTATTGAAACAGTTTATGAAACATTTTTTGACTCCAAAGTCAGAACCTAAAAGTCAACATTTTTATTGTATTCTTACATTTCTAAAAAAAATGTCAGAGGTCAAAAGTCTTTAAAAAAAAGAAAGAAAATTACACTGATTTTTAACGAGCTTAAATAAAATGATTGAAAATAATTTTAAAAATTCCTGCTAATCTCAGAATTCTGTAACTAGTCTTACATTAAAGTGGGTCACAGAGGTTTTTGTGGAAAAATTCAGAATTTAAAAATCTGAACCTAAGGATGAGTTCATCTGTAAAGTCAGTGTGTTGAACCCAGATTTCTATTCTATCAACTATTCCAAAAGCAACACATATATATATACATATATATACTGTATATCCATCAGCTGTGTGTGTGTTATCTGTGCAGCAGCAGGCGTCACTCGACCAAACACAGGTTTTATCTCAGTGTTTGTTCAATGGCCTCATTCAACTCCAGATGAGAAGGAAAAAAACAAAACGATAAATTTCCAAATCTAAAACAAACCTTTGCACCAGATTCTGCTCTGATTCCCTTAAACCAGAGAACTGTGATATTATACAAGACTGCTTTTAAAGTGCTGTCCACCAGAGGGGCCAGAGCAGCAGGGGGTGGGGGGGGGGTCTCAAGAGGGGGCTCCTCTCCAAGCAGGCATTATATAGAACCACTCATTAACATTCTACTGCGTGGTCTGGTTGCTGGGACACAGGAGCTTCACCGCCTGACTGTTAGGGATCAGGACCGAGGACCGAGGACGGGGTCTGACCACCAACCCCAGAAATCAGACAGTTTATTTTCCATGTGGGGAATGGACGTAGTCTGAATGATTCAACATGTGGCCCACAGCCTCTGTGGTGTGCGTTTGCTCCCTTTTGGTCCAGTACAGGTGGAGCCAAACAAAAGGCTGAATGAGGAGTCATAGTAGAACAGTTCACTGTGGCATCAGCAGCAGCAGCAGCAGCAGCATCAGATGTACTCGCTGCGTTTGTGTTCGCCCACGCACACACACTCAGATTAGTCAGAGAAGGCCAGATGGACCTGGAGGCCACATCCTGATTATGGCTGTGGGCCGGTCACCACAGAGATTAGTCCTTCACACACAGAGGAAAACACAGCTGTCTGTACGAAGTGCGTAAACCTAAGGTGACATTAGGAAGCACCGCAGTTGCTTCAGTCAACACCTGTGACCTCCAACTGCAGCCACAGGGGGCAGCACTGTCTGTTTTTTTTATGACACATATAAGCTTTGAACTTTTACAGGGGGCAGCACTGTCTGTTTTTTTTTTTATGACACACATAAGCTTTGAACTTTTAGAGTTCATCTGTTTTTTGAGGAAGTCTGTGTCGTCCATGAGATATTTTTGAATAGTTTTTTTTGACAATAATTCATTTGTGAAAACGGGAGATTTATGTTCATGTGTCATAACTGTTTATTTTCTAAAATCATGAGGAATTTCAAGATTCAAGGTTCAAGATAATTAGGTTATTTAATCCTTTCATTATCATTTTAAATTATTATTTCTTGACCGATCCAAACCCTTCTGTTCTCCTCAGATTATGACCTGTCCAAACTGAAGGACTTCATGAACCAGCAGGTTGACTCCTACATCCAGAAAGGCATCATTGCCAAGGACGAGGGCGACACCATCAAGAGGATCTACGGCAGCCTGTAAGGCCCCGCCCCGCCCTGTTACCCACATCTGGCCCGAGACACGGAACTGGCTCTGACTCTACAACCAAAAACAAAACAAAAATCGGACTATTTACGTACAGTAATTTCCCACAGCTAGTCAAGTATTCACTGTGCTTTAAAATAACCTGTTTGAGATGAGCAGATTATTTCATCTGTGTATCGTGGAGGAGGATTAAACAGATTATTCTGGGAGTAGAACGGCACTCCACTGAATAATCCGTAAAAATGGCCTTTTGACAGAAAGCAGAAATTGTAGTCGACACAGTTTAAATCAAGAATTGACTCTGAACACGCCCATAATTTCCCATAAGGCATTGTTTCTCCATGATTTTGCCACATTTTCAAACATCATATTGTAACCACTGTGTGTAACTGTTTTAGCCTGTCATCTTTGTTTTTTCTGTTTAGTTTTGGACTTGTTTTCCTAAACTGACACCTTAGTTTCACATTCCTCGGTTTAATTATGTTTTTAATGTATTTCTTGTTCTTTATTTACCACAAAAAAACAAATATATCGTTCTTGTGCATCTGTCAGTATCTCTTTACTCCTCTGTTGTTTTGCAGTAACACCTGGCGCCCACTACGGGGCGGTGTCCGTTTCATCTACTCTCTGCATGTCTCTGTGCGTTGATTGAAGTACTGTAGAGACACGGGGTGACGTATTTTTCACTGTAAATAATTGTGATTTTTTTTCTTCTTTCCTAAAAGCGATTAAAGCCTTGCCTTTCGTTACCCGTGTTCTCAGATGTGATGACGAGGCGCCGCTGAAAGAACACACACACGACGACTTCCGGTGTGGTTTAAATACAGATTTATTCTCAAATAAAACCAAACAGACTTTAATACACACCGTAAACCAGTTCTTAAACAGACGTCATAAATAATACAGCCACACTTTAAAAAATAGAGCGCTCCCTTCTGTTTCGTTGAGTAAAAAAGTTCCCGTGAGGCAAACAGGACAAAGGCTCGAGTCCAACAAGAGTCTCTGCTCACACCAGGTAAATGTTACCGCAAAAAGGCCTGAATATACGGACTGGTAATGATTATACTCTAGGTCGGAACGGAAGTTTCTCAGAAGCTGCGAACAAATCCAAATCACTTACGTCGTCGTGTCTCTGTCCCACAGGTCGTCTTTACAGAGACGTGTCCAGAGAGTGAAAGGTGTCAGTGGACAAATGTGTCCTGAGAGGAGTCTAGAACCTGACATGAGACGATAAAAGAAACGAGGCAGCGTTCGGGTCACTGGTTACATTAAATCCCCGTCTGCTATTGGTTAAAAAACAACAACAAAGTATTCCATGGAACTAAAGCGTCACACCACTGTTGAGTTCAATTATACATATGTACACGCATATATATGTACATATGTACACATATATAAACACATACATACACGTATATATACATGTATACACATATATATATCTACATATATACATACATGTGTATATACATAGTTGTAGTAGTATTTCTGCAGACCTAAGTGACACACTGCCTCTCATAAGCATTTGACTTCTTTTTGTGTAGTGAACAGTCTGGTTCAGTTAGTTCTCACTCAGCCAATCAAAGACATCAGACAGACAAGCTCGGCCTGTGATTGGACGTTCCAACTCCCTTCTTCATCCCTTCTTTTCTTCCTTTTTTACCACTGACAGTTTCATAGGTAACTTTACTTTCTATAGAATCCCAGTCACATGATTTAGGAATACTAACTACCACGTGACACGTCTTTGGTTCAGTTCCAGGGAGTTTGGTACGGTCCACTTGTCTAATGAACCTGATATGAACCCAAGTCTGTGTGGACGGAGACTGTAGCTTTTTTTTTTAAAAACCTGTCTAAAATGGACCTCTTTGCTGTAACATTCAACTCTGACCCAACAAGTAAGTGGCGTGAGCGCACCCTGGTGTTCGATGCTGTTAAGTCTCCTCCCTAAGACTCAAAAGTGTAACAAGGAACAATAAATAAAAAGTCAAAAGGACCTGACTGGTCACCTGGGTTCGGTGAAGCGAGTCAGTACTACAGTACAGAGGTTGTTGTACTTCAGCCTGTACACACTGTAGTCCTGCCTCCAGATAAAAGCAAAGGCTCACAAAATGCTCCAGACTATAATTAGATTATATTATAATGGACGGTAGATAATGGATTAAAAAGAAATACACCAGAGTTGGACCAAAGCAAGAGGATGGTTCACCTCCCCCCACGTCCCCCCTCCACTCCTGACTCCATTTCCCTTTAATATGATTGGGTTGTTTGTATTTTTTAAGAAATTGCTGCATCAGCCCCTTCCAGCAGATGGCTCCCTAGATGATCGCATACGTGGCCTATGTCAAGTACCAGCTCTGCTTGCCACCATGCATGTCCACAGCAGGAACTAGAACCAGCAACCAGAACTCCAGGGAATCCAGATACTTCCCATGTAAATTTAAACAGTTAAAGGACGACGTTGCTCCTTTTAGAACCCGTGTGTGAGGAAACACAGGTCTGGAAGCTGTTAGCATTAGCAGAGCAGCTAAAGCAGCTATAGTCACTGTTCCAGGACTTCAGCGGAGCGTTGGCTACGCCAGCACACAGAACTCATTCAGATCATTTCAACTTCAACATTCACTCCAGTGGAATCCAGGCAGCCGTGAGAACAAGAACCATGACTGTGGTTCCTAGGTCCAAGTACTCCGTGGTACAAACGTGTCTCTAATACAACCTAACCTGCATCTTTTTCAGTCGTCGTAGACCCTGCTTTTAGTGCATTTTGCTTTAATATAATTATTTTTATCATTATATTTCTTTAAATGTTGACTAAAATCAATAATGCAAAAAAAAAAAACAACCAAAAAACGTCCCCAACAAAACAGGTACGAAACCTTCACATCATCCCAAGGCTTAGTCAGGCATTTAGACTGAGTATGTGTGTGTGTGTGTGTGTGTGTGTGTGTCAGGGTTCCTGGTAAACAAACTCTTATGTCTCCTGGTACGACCTCATCGACCCTGTGTCGTCCTCCTCGTCGCTCCTGTAAAAACAAAAACAAACTTTTATTGAAGTTGCGGAGTTCCTCCGAGGTGGAAACATTGGTTATTTATTATTTATGGAAACATCTACTGCCTTCGTCACACCGTGTCTACTTAACTGGTCACCATAGTGTCTGGGCTGGCTGTGAATAATGGATGAAGTCAGACTAACAGCAGTGTCAACAACCGTTTCGGAGTCACAAAAAAAATCTCTCAAAAATTATCCAATTATTATTTTACAGATATGTGTTTCTGACTAACAGCAACATCAGACGACGCCTTCGATGGTTTCAATAGCAGTGCATTTCTACCACATGAAGAAAAGAGTATTTAATTCAACTACTAAACTGAAGCTAACTTCTACCTCCTCCTCTCGTACAGTTGTGTTTACGTGTGAACCCAGGACGGGGTTCTTCAGTCAGGTGTCACATTCCTGGTTCTGCACGTGTGCCGTGGCTTTTTCTAAACTGTAATAAAAGACTCTTCACTGAGCTTTGATTTTAAAAACCTTATTCAAGCTCGTTGTGAAAGTGAGGAGATGAAAAACGTGAACGACATCGACCACTGACGACAAACCAAATAAAGGGTTAACGTCATTATTTCACTCAGTGATTCTGTCCATAAATCCATCCACACTTTAGCTAATTGTAACTCCTTCATTTACTTTAATGGTTCATTTGTCAGAACCTTTAGTCTGTAAACTTAAGACCAGTAAATGAAGAAGAGATTTTTTTTCACAGCAGGATCATGTGACTATTTGTCACTACTTCAATCAATGACACAACCAGTGAGTTTCAGCTATTTATAATTAGTCCCTGTAATAGTCCCTGTTACTGTTACTCTTACTCTAGGGGGCGCTCAGTTTATCAATGATCAGTGTCTGAGTTTATTGTAAGTATGCAGGTACATTGAATGATTTACTTTGTATTCTACATCCTGTAGAGCACCTCAAAACCTCGGTCCGTGGGCCACTTTCAGTCCATAGACCACCCACATCTGGCCCACAGCTGATGTAATTAGACCACCCACATCTGGCCCACAGCTGTACACCACAGCTGATGTAAACAAATGGTCATTTCTGGCATTATTTGGCCCCGCAGTGAGACTGCAGCTCCAACAGTGGCCCTCGCTCATTAGTTTGAGAGTTTCTTCAGATCTCATATTAAACCAGGTGACCCATCATCATCAGACCAGCTCGTGGTTTTGTTTTATCAGAAGTGAAACCAGACCTGTGGCCTGTGTTTGTTTTGTCTTTGTGTTAACAATGAAGCGAGACTCTGTTTGACCACACACACGCACACACATGCTCACTCTCACACACACACACACATCTTAACTCTTTATTGGACTAATAAGTCAATATTTGATCAGGAAACCAGGTCTTTGTTTACCTAGTTATATTTACTTAACGTGTACAGTAATAATATAAGTCATGTGATCACACAGCTACAGTGGAAGCAGGGACTACTGTGCAGGGAGTGAGTACTAATCAGTAAAACACACTCTAAAATTACTACAATATGTAATTTTCTATAACATAGTACTTCAATATCTCTGCATTGTTTGAGTTCAGTTATTATTGAACTTCAGTCAAAACCATATTTCTGGATTTCCTTGCACTGACAGCAAATACAAGAAGTACAATTTTCATAAACTTTCAAAATAAAGGTCTTGGTGTCTGGACTGTGTTTCCTGTGAACCAAACTTTCTGACAAATTAAAGCTTTAACAAACAACAACCAATGTTGTTGTTTTTTTTATTTTTAATCACATCCTAAAATGGTGTTTTTAAAACTTATAAACAACTAATTTCTGATGTTTAAAAGTCTATGTAAATTAATGTCATAACTATTTTATTTAGTGTCAAGTGAGGCCTTACAGTTACATTTAGAACATTTTTAATTTAGCAGTTTTAAATGTTTCTGGATGAAGTACTGAATACACAGTCAATACCTCACTCCGCTCATCGCAGCATCAACCCCGCCCCTTTTTTGTGCAGTCGTAGAGACACTTAGACTTTTCTTTTCTGCAGTTATGGTCAGACCAGCATTTCAGTGGCTCTAAGAAAACTGACCACGAAACCTCAAGTGAACAGTGTCAGAGCATCAGTGTGACAAAAAGCAGAAGTCTGACTGACGATCACACCGAGTGTGTGACCAGCAGAAGCATTTTTTCCTCACCTCATGTCTTCTTTTTTTAGCCTGCGTGCCGCCTGCGTGGACTGTTTAATCTGCAAGTCCAGTCTGAACAAGAAGTCTTTGGCTGACAGCTCCTCGGCCTGGGGTTGAGAGTGGGGCTCAGAGTGGTCCTTAGGGGGCGGCGAAGGGGGCGGCGAAGGTCCTTCAATGTCCTGTGTCATGACACGAGGCGTCTCTGCCTCCGTACACGCCGCGTCGGCGTCCCCGTCAGGAGATTCCAAAGACAGTCCGTTGAAGACGAAGCGTTTCTGGGACACCACGGGAATGTTGAGGCAGTTCCTCAGGAAGATGCTCTCGTTGTTGAAGAGTTTGTTGGCTCTCTTGATCTGCTCCATCTGGTGTAAGAAAAAAAAGACTGAGTTTGTACTTTTACAACGACAACTTCTAACACTGGCCTCTGTTATTGACTGACTATTTATATCACTAATCCATGTTGGTGATTTGGTCCCACAAACGCACTGATTTTTAATTTTTATTTATTTTCCTTCACTCAACCTCCAGTTCGTGGACCAGTATTGGTCTGGGGTTTATTTGGTACTTGACTCAACCTCCAGTTCGTGGACCAGTATTATTTGGTACTTGGGAAATAATGAATGATTTACTTCACTTAAAGACAATCTCATCATTTCCACTTATTCTCTTCATTTAAAACAAATTTGGTATTTATTAAAAAAAAACTCATAGAGTTCCAGTAACTTCTGACTGTGTACTCTACGTGTACTTGCTTGACCATTATTTTTTAGAGGTTGCGACCTTTACCACTTACAGTCTACATCCTATACAGCTGACGAGGCTACACCACCTTGAAGCTGGAAACAATGACCTGGGACAGGTTGATGCAGCCTAGGGTCACAGGATGTGACGCAAATGAACCACCGTGTTCGCTTGAAATGGTCGAAATAGTGAGCAGAAGGAAAGTTTCGTATAAAGTGGAGATGCTCTCTGGTATCACATGTGGTTGGACTCTGTATTTATTATTATAACAAGCAGAGACAAAGCAGTGAACTCTTCCTAAATGCAGTGACGTATCGCGATATATGACGGTCTAATTACTGGGTCTGGTCCACGGGTTGCAACCTTACCGTGACGCCGTACTTCAGGGCAATGCCTTGCAGAGTATCACTATCGGTAACCCGATGCTCAATGTATTTCTCCCCCAAAGAGGCTGTGACGCTGGCTGTGCTCCCGTAAGAACGGATCTTCGTCCTTGCCAGGCTCTGGGAGAGTTCGCTTTCAGACTCAGAACCGGACCTGGACCGAGGGAAGATGGGTTGACCAAATCTTCCTCCTCCATCCCGCATCGGGAGGATAGGCGAAAACTCCGCCATCTTCCCTTAAATAAACGCAGCGTTCTAATGCCCCTCTGATACTTAACACAGTTGTTGACTTTCTGCGTGGCCGTGAGAGTCTGGGTTAGGCTTCAGGAAGGGTTCGTTCCCCGGTCATGGTCGTCAGGCGAGCCCAGGGGTCCACAGACATATCTAACACAGCAAACCACCTAAAGGCTCGCCTGTATCACAGATGCGTGGCGCTAACGTAAAGCCGTACAGAACGACGTGAAACGTCAACAATAGTTTCCGGTTGTACTTTCAAAATAATTGACAAACGCACATATTAGCATCTAAATAAAAGTTGTGCACTTTAAAAGTACGCCACTAGTTTACTACTTTAATATTTTTTTAGGCCCATGAATATATTGAATACAAAATACAAAATACAAAAGATAATAATAATCCAAATATAACTTGGATTTGTATAAATGTTAAAATATTTACTTTATCTGTTACGGGAATAAGAGTCAGTCAAGCTGTTAATGTGGCGCGTTCTCTACATAAACAACAACAATAATAATAATATTGCGCATGTTTTCCTGTGATATCAGTGAAAATATCACGTTAGGTCAGCTCTTTTCTGACTATGTATGGGTGATAAAATTATTTTCAACCACCAGAGGGAGTCAGGAAATCAGCTTACTATCAGGCCTAGGTCAGAGCTTCGAAGTTGTTGTTTTTTTTACTTTAAAGATGTATTGTGTTTAATTTAGCATGCTGTATATGAATAAATATACTTTATCTTACAGAGAGTCTCACAGGTAAAGTGAGAAGCAGAAATGAGATGGTTAAACCAACAACCCCAGAGTCTCACTCCAGGTCATGTGAAGGTCAAAAGGAGTGGAATTTGAGCCTTGTTAGCATGAGTAGCTACAGTGAACCTAATCAAGGATCTTGAACTGACATGTTCTCAGCATTTACTACACTACATTTTTACTCTATGGGAATTGTTCTTTAACTACAAGACAATTTTTTCTCAATCCATTTTATACATCTGGATTGAAAGCTTTATTATTCTTACACATATTTTTGGACCGCTCTTATGTACTTTTCTGCCACTCCTGAGTTCTCTGTCGAGTATCATAGTCTCTTTTAGGACTTTATTATAATTATGTATATTTGTTTCAGATGTGCTCTAAACGTTAGTCAGTATTCAGCTGGTTTCGTTAGTGGAACATCTGTTCACTCTGTTACGTCATCCGTGGCTAGTCATTATAATTGTCGTATAACAACTTACGTCAGTGTTACCTGAATATCAAGTTCACACACATACTTGTTCTGGAGAAGCTGTTGGTTTCAGTCTCATTTTTTCCAGGGACTGAAACATGGTGTTTATTACACTGGTGGTTTAAAGGGAGTGTTTTTCAGTACCGTACCTACAGTGGCACACGGCTGGATATGTTCAAGTCACATTCTTACTCGATCTTTGGATTTTTCCTTTAAATTGGTGCCCTGTGGCCAGTCTGAGTGACAGACGTGACAGATCCCCACTGGCAACAGAGTAAAGCAACTGAGCGAAGCGCTCTGGCACAGGAAACCCTGGGAGCCATGGAGTCACATCCATTACATCATCTCCACGGCATGTGAACACAATCCCAAAAACTGGATCTGATTAAAGGGTGCATAGACAAACCAGCCAGAACACAGTACCTCACTGAGAAACTACTATGTAATACTTTGTACTCAAGTTTCCTGACAGTGTCAAACATAAGACCTGCAGGCCAAATCTGGTCCACAAAGTTATTTTAAGTGGACGACATATATGTACATTTTTTTAGTAAGAAAAAAATATAGTAATTAGCAAATGTCATAAATTAGTTATATTAAAAATTAACAATCCTTAACCATAAAAAAATACAGAGAACAATGAAGAACATTTGAATCTTCTGCCCTTTAAGGACACCCATAATACTGATTAGAATTTGGGACACCATGGTTTTGAAGTGGAAGTTTCATAGAAAGAAATGTGAAAGCTTCAAAGATTATGTAAAAACATTTATTGTTGAGGATGTCACATGTTCAGCAGTGCACTTTAACCATTGTGTGGTTTGTTCCTTTTTGTTAAGTCTACAACCTGGATTTTAATCACGGTACAAAAGAAATCTCAGCAGTGACTTGTGCAGATTTATATAGAGCGCGCGCACACACACACACACACACACACACACACACACATCAACCGTGTTTGTGTGTGTACGTGCTTGTGTGAATTTGAGATGTTTAAATTTCACTACACTATAATTTTCACTATACAGCCATGATGTAGCATCACTGAACATTACTTATTAACAAGCCCAAGATAGAAAGCAGATATTCCACTTTAGCCACCAGCTCAGGAAAGGAATGGTTAAGAAATAAAGGTTCAAAAAGAGGAATCAGTACATGAGGCGATGACAGAGAGAAAAGCACCATGGAAAAAAAAATTTAAAAAATCATACTTGTGCCCGGAATGTGATGATATTTGGTCGCGACAACGTCATGCTAGGATATTTGTTCCTATTACACGTCATTAGCAGTATGTACAATTTTTCAAGTCTATTTCTAATTGGACCAGTGATTCCAATCTGAAGCGGCGTGTGTGTGTGTGTGTGTGTGTGTTGTTTCTGAGGCAAACACAGTACAGTATGTGATGATGAGGGACACAGTGACTGATGAACCACTGCTTCACTGCAGAACCTAAACATGGAGAGCCGACCAGTCTGGTACCGATGACTTTAAGGACTGCATGTGTTAGTCTTTGGCATGGTTACACATCAGATGTAGCCGACATGTGGAGCAGGCGACTGAACATGGATGTATTTAACGTCTGGAGATATGATGTAATTACAGTGTAATCGAGCCTTTAAATTAATTCAGAGTTTCCTGTTTCAAAAATACAACACACTGCATTTTGTGAAGCTCTTCAGACTCAAAACCATAATGTTAAAAACGTCAGCTTATACAGAATGAGATGAGCCAACAGCACAGAGGTGTGTTTTCTGTTGACTCCGTCATAACCAGCACCAGGTGTTCGCAGCCAAACAGTCATGCAGCTTTAACAAGGCAACATCAACGAACAACAATGGGCTATGTATTCACTTGGTGGAAGGAGTCCACTGTTCACAAGAGCTAACACAGACAGGGACAAGAAGGGTCTGCAACCTGTGGCTCCAGATCTTAGTCGCTACAGTGAGATAATCTTTTATGGGGTTTTTTAATGGACCACATTTAGTCCCAGCTGAGCTTCAAGACACAAAAATGTTCATGCAGCTGCCGATGCATCAAACTGATTGGTAAAAATGTAAATCAAGTACTGCGTCCTGCACCGTCTGCAGTCACTGATACGGTTCAGGATTGGACCGGAAAGGTTTTCAAAAGTCAAGTTTGAACCAGACATGGTTGAAACACATTTCATTTTTTAGCGCCCATGCTAAGAGCCAAACAACATGAAGTCATTGTCTTCTTTAACTCAAGATCAGGTGTGGAAGCTTTAGGGGGAGAATGTAATGTTGACTAAGTGTTATTAAAATCACTTTGTCTGTACTGTACTGTAACTGCCACCACCTTTATTTTGTTGCATTTTTTAAAATAAATATCTTACTACAGTACTCAAAACTTCATTTACTGCAGGAGTACCACAATTTAAATTGTGAAAACATATTTGCAGCTCTTCGGGATCTTGATTTGTTGGTGAACTGATAAAATTGACTCTGACCCCTGCACCCTGCCTATTCAAAATACGGCACGAGGGCCACATGTAGTCCGGCCACAACCTCAGAGTGGCCCAGGCTGTGGACACTGAGTGAACTACAAGTAGTGACTGTAAAACAGACCATTAACACAACAGTTTCTGTTGTCTAGCAACATGCATCCCACAATGCATTGCTGGAGTGTCTGACAGTGTTAGCAGTAAACTACCCAGTATCGTGTCCTTGACATGAAATGACAAATACGTGTGTATTTACAAACTCCAGCCTCCAAACTGATGCCTATTTGCAGTAAGTGTGTTTAAACATTTTTGCCTATAGTTTGTAGTTAGCTCCTGTTCGTTAGCCACAGAAAATGTCCGTCCCAGCTCAATTTCTTGGATTAAAACTTCAACTTAAAGTATATTTGAACAGCCATGACCTTGATGACCTGGGCAAAGGTGAAAACCACGCCCTGCACCAGACCAATGGTCGTCGCACCACACCTGATGACCGCACAGGTTTCAATGACCAAATACCATATAATAACCGGTAATTACTACGAGGACTCCACTATAATTCTCAGCCTCAGCAGCAAAGTATGAGGGCGGAGGAAAAAGGAGAATCTAAAGATCAGTAACCGTTTTACTACAGCTGTTGTCCTCGTTTCTGTTACTTAGTAAAGTTCATGTTTATTTTACACGGTCGTAGCAGTGAAGTATAAAAAGTAAAAAGCAAATAAAACTCTGTTAAGACCGAGGAAGGACCAACTGAAATGAAATGTCTAAACAAAAGCCTGACTCACATCTTCAGCATCAAAATAATAATAAAAAAAACAAATGTACGTAAAAGCATATGGGAGACAATTCCAGTTAATTTCCTTCTTTTCCGACGTGTGTTCTGGTTGAGCTCGCCTTGTCCCACAGTTTGGCACAAGACCTAAGTTTCCACACAGTGAGATGTGAGCAGGAAAATTATTCCACACGATGAGATGAAAACACAGGATTGGCTGAGACACAGGTTGGCCTCCGTTCCTACAGGTCGCCTTCCACTCGCTTCCTGCGGACTGGAAAAGGAAGAGTGGGTTTAGATATAGGGAATAAGAGAAGAAAGTTCTGAGGACTGGAAATCCTTTTGGGCAGCGCCGCGTACAAGACTCCCTTAAACTTGTGATTAGTATTTTTATATCTGGTGTAAAAGTCATTCATAAAGTGAGTACATCTTTTTGTAAATCTCGTACGTCAGCCTAAGACTTTTGCACAGCGCAGGCCAAAATACTGTAAAGGTAAATACACTGCAAACATGCAACACGACCTTTGACCTCCACAGCTGTTAGCTCATCATGAAAACAACAAGCGATCGTTGAGAGCTGCGGTGTGTGAAGAGAGAGAACGGCTGCTGTGTGTGTGTGTGCGTGTGTGTGTGTGTCAGTGAAGGTGGTGACACGTGGTGGAGGTCGATGCTGTCAGATCACACTGTGTCACTCTTCATTCTGTTAATGCACTGAACCTTCCATTCAAACAGCTGTGAAAGAAACCACTGTTATTTGTGATGCAGTGACTGCTGGTGACCACACCCATGCATCCGACCTGTGCTACTGCAGCTCTGACAGGAGGAGCAGGAGGAGGAAGAGGAGGAGGAGGAGGAGCTAAAAGAGAACAGAGGTCATCAGTGTGGGCAGGAACAGCACACTGTAAAAAAAAAAGGCTGCTGAGAAATTTTCTCTCAACTCCCAGGTTTACTGTCGCACCTTTATACCTGGAAATGTGGGTCACTGAGCCAGGTTATGGACGATAAGGAACCCTTAATAACTCCCAAATAGTTACTGTATTACAACAACAGTACTACTTACTTACTGTTTCTGTAAAATTTCTTTCATTTATTTAACTTTCAAAATGACTCAATTCTAATGAATGAATACAAATAGAAAAAAAGAAAAATCTGACACTGGTCACGACGTCATGACTCCAACTTCATGTGATCCCTCGTAATAGATACTTCATTCAGCTCTGGAATGTTTGAACAAATATGAACTTGTTGTGTGTGTGTGTGTGTGTTTTCTTTACCCAGGTCGTTGTTTTTCGTGATAGCTGCAGCTGCCCTGGAGCGAGGTCCCTGCTGGGTGAAGTGGTAGCCGAACTTCATGATGCTCTTGTTCTCTTCCAACATTTTAGCGATCTCCATCTCAACACTGGTTCCCAGCTGTTGTCTCTGGAACACAGATGGACGAAGCGGTTAAAGTCAGTAGTTTTATTTTTTAAAGAAGAACTCAAACTTATATTACAATATATTTATGTAAATTAATATGGTTCTCTGATGAGGAGTCTTTATTAAAAGATTATTTTGGAATCCAGTCACAGGCCGGACTGGACAATTCCGTGGGCCAGATTTGGAGTGCGGACCACCAGTTGAAAATCACTGCTGTAGAACTTTAAGGTCTGAGACAAAGATACGGCTGCTTTTATTACCTGGTTATCTATCTTGATCTCTGTGAGTGTGTCATTATCTCTCAGTGCCTCCACCAAAGCCTGGACTCCTACGCCGGTGATAAAGTTGGACTCCAGGTTCAAACTTCGCAGCGATTTGTTCTCTCGTAGCATGTCACTGAAGACCTGGGACAAAAAAAGAGGACACGAAGAAAATATGTTAAAAAAAAGAATTCATGTTTAACTACAATTTAAATAAACTACTAAACAACTGCTGTCTCTGACCACAGCTATGGGGTCGTTACTCCGCGTCGCTGCTAGACTGAACTTCTTGACGTGCGTGTTCTTCTCCATGGCTTTGGCGTAGTCTTTCAGGGTGGGAATAGGAATGTTCTAAAAAAAAAAAAAAAACAATATTGAAACAGGAATAAATAACAAGACGGTGAAGAGACGGTTCAATCAGAAATCTGCTGTACCTTAATGTTGTTGAGGTTGACCTCTGTTAAGGAGCTGTCGTTGCTCTTTATCCTCTGCAGGGTTTCTTCTACGTTGGTGGGATTCGGAGGCTCATCAAACACCGGCGTCATCTTCTCTCCTTTGACTACATCTACAGGAGGCACACGGGTTCAGACTCTGATCACTGTGGTGGCTCTGAAACAGTTGGGTTTGGTCTCACTTACTGTTGTAACTCCCTTTGCCTCCACTTCCATCGTACGTCTGACTGCTGGTGACCAACGTGTGAACACCCACGATTGCTGCAAACAAACAAACAAACAAACCACAGACTCAGTTACAGTGGTAACAAACCAGCGTGTATGTGGATTAACAGAGACACCTGTGGCTTCTGGGCTAATTTAACAATTGTTTAGGTGTCAATGAGGCCTGGCAATATACTGGCTTTTTTTTTTACAACATCTAAATAAGGCTCATTTTCATTTAATATATACTTGTTTACCATTTAAGGCTATACTTCATGGTCACGTTATGTATCATATATTGCAATTTAGCTAATTTTGTTCAATGAGCCCTTTCAAAAAAACCAACACAAGTGATCGATGAAAACTTCTGCAGCAGGTCAAATTATTTCCTATTGAGTATGAAAGTTTTTTTGTAACTTCAAAAATGTTTTTGAATGTATTTTCTCAGTCTCACCTGCTAGATCACACAGTTCTGTGTCTGTGGCGTTGGACAACGCTTCTTCTAACTCTGGGTCCAGGGTCGTCACATCGTCCTGACATGTTTCCACTGGTTTCTGCTTGGGAACAAATACTTTACCTAAAGAGGGAAACACAGTGATTAGAGTAATCGTATTACAAGAATATATATTAAAAAAAAGACAGACATTATTTAGGTGGTAGGTCAGTACAGAGAAAAGGGCCTTATACTATATACACATGGGTACGTGGAGGTTTTACGAGATGTTCCATAACCACCTCCTTTTTCCATGAAACACGGCCAACAGCTAACACACACACACACACACACTAACACTCATTATTGAGATTATTCTTGTTTTTTGAACGTGTGGAACAGTCTGTAAGACCACCAAGTAGTGAGGAATCAGTAGTACACATGTTTAAATTCTACTGTATTTGTATATATATACATATGGTTTTTTTTTAGTACTCGGGTTTATTCCACCACTGCTGCTACTACACACAGAGGAATAAACACAACTGCACAGTATTACTGAAAAAAAAAAAAAAATTTAAATAGTATAATCACAACTATTTTACCAGTTTAATTAGCTAATGAGGTTAACGAGGACATGCTCGTGACTGGACCAGTTTCCTCCACTTTTCATCTTCATATTAAACGTTGTCAAATCCAGGATAAAAAAAATATTTAACCTCAATATTAAAATTGTTTCTAACACGAGGCTACACACCACAGAGCATTTTGAAATCTTAATTACAAATTAATTACAACAACATTTACCACAGTTAAACACTGAGGTTCTGTTGGCTGCTGTTCTGTTTCCTGAGGCAGAAAATAAAGAGCAGCTGTTTTTTGCGTCTTTTCCTCCAGATTTACATGCAGTACTTTTGCTGTCGAAGGTTTGTTTTGGTCTGGTAACCACGAGCAGGTTGTGTCTGAACAAATGGGTTAGCTGTTCAAATACCTAAATGTGTATCTCCTGCTGTTTTACAGAACATTTCTCTGCCATGAGTGGCTCAGACTCAGCTGAACTCTCAGCCCAACAATGTCTGTCTGACAACTATGCTGTCACCATGGTTACCTACTGGGGAAAAGGAAAGGAAAAAAATGAAGGAAGTCAATGGAACAATGACTTTAGTTTGATCTCAAATGCACAGCTTCAGCACAAAAAAGCACATACGGGGCGAGGAGCCCACTGACAGTGTCTGTAAATGACTGTATTTTCAACAAAAACACCACAAGATCAGACCCATGGCCCCCTTTTTTCCCTACTTCCCAGTCAGTCAAACTGCTGAAGCTGGTCTCTGGTGGGGGCTCTGGCACTTCCTGACATCCAGTAAACAGTAAATAAAGTCATCAGCAGATTCCATGCCAGTCCCAGCGGAGCGACATTTAGTCACGCAGAAGAGAAGAATGAGTGTGCCAAGAGACCACTGAGGCCCAAACACCAGTGTGGACCTTAGAGAAGCATGTGTTCAGAGCTTCATGAGGGAAACAGACATGAAACTGTACCAGTGTAGAAGGGATCACACACCAAAGACAGTGAGTGTCTATGAAGGCAGACACATTAGTTCAGTGGTTCCCAAAGTGGGAGGTGGGGCCCTTCGAGGACAGCAGTCCCCAACCTTTTTTTGTGCCAAGGACCGGTATCAGCCGATACTGCTGACCGGTAATACCGTGCCATTGTATTTATTCTGTTAGTATCAGAGTCTGAATGATCTGTTGTTTTAAAACACTGACAGATTATCTTTGAATGTAAAAAGTATATGGATATGACTGTATTCTTTATGAACGAAGTAGATTAGTAAAACTGAAGTACATTTTTTCCAGTGTCACGGTATCAAATGACCTACGGACTGGCACTGGTCCCCGGATCTGGGGTTCGGAACCTCTGTTGTAGGGGAGTCAAAGCAACTGCACGGCGGGGCGGACGTCAGGGCAAATGAATTACAGTTTTATTATTTTCCTCATTGTTGCCAAAGTAAAGAAAACTGCAGTGAGTTAAACTTGTACGTTAAATGTTAAATGTTAATCTGTTGCATTAATTTATGACTAAAAACTGACAGGACTGAAAGGCTTTGATTCCAACCAAGTCAGACGAGCCACAGCATATAGCGCTGCGTCATCCACATATGCTTTCACTTCAAATCAGCAATTCCAAACAATGTGCCGCAGATCAGTATGAAACGTATACTTCAAACAAATCCACCAGGGGAGGGTTCTACAGGACATATGTTAGCAGTAAAAGCAGAACATTTATATTCATGTATGGCTACATGCACATACATTAAAGTAAACCAGATCCAAAAGACTCGTGCACGTCACGGTTCAGGCTCGGCTATTGTTTAAGTCTTCGTCCATAACT